CGGGTCCAAGGAAACCCTTGGATTCGTGGTGGTGTCTTCCCACCAAGGTCGAGCATTCCTTTGTGGTCTTCCACCCTCCAACAAGAAGTGGAAAGACAAATATGTCTGCGTCAAATTCCCCCCGGGTGCCTTTCCTTTTGCCCAAAACGTCTGGGGGAAAAGAATGAAGCGCCAGGTCAAACCAGCGGAGGCCGATGACTTGGTTGCTTGGGAAGCCACTCTCCGGGCCGGGGATGCCTCCACCCGCGGTCTGTACCATGTTGGGAAGTGGAGCGTCTACCCCGGCCGGGAGACCGACCCCGAACCGGAGATTGTTCTGCCCGGGGTGATCCCCGAAGCCATCCCCATCCGTCGGGCGAGGGGATCCAAAGCCCCGGCCACTACCAATGCCGGTCCTTCATGCCCGGCGAAGAAAAAGAAGGAGGAAGGTCAATCAACCGCCCTTCTCATTTTTCATTTGAATTAATTTGTTCTCAACTGCATTCTTCTAACCGGTTCCTTTTTTTTGTTTCAGTGGTGAAGTTTCAATCCAAGTTCGCCGTCCCCCAAATCGTGGTTGAGGAGCCCTCCTCCGCTCAGCCACTCACTCCTCCATCCAGCCAACCACTCTTGATGGATGATCTGCCGGCCCAGTCTCACCAAGGGACCAGCCAGCCGATTCACTCGGGGGAGATCTACTTCAACGTAGACACCTTCGAGTTCGACAATCTGATGGGTGAGACTGGTCATACGTCCCAGGCGGGGGTGGGAGACCGGCCCAATGAGGAAAGGGACGCCAAGGAGGAGACTTCTGGGGGGTCCCTTCAACGGAAGAAGCGGAAGACTGAGGAAGTCAACCAGCCTTCCCATCAGGGGGCCCAGTCCTCTGACGCCGGCAAGGGGCCGATAGTGCCTCGTTCTCTGGCTTTAATGTCCAGGTCAAACGAGGAGCTCTTCCGAGCATTCCGTGCTGATCTGAATGAGGTAACCCCTTTTCCTCTCCCACCGCCTACTTACCGTTTTTATACTTTTCTGAGTAATTTTCGATGTCTTTGAAGCAGATCGGCCGGATCGGGGAGGAGTACTTCGCCCGGCTGGTGAAGTCGATGGATGAGGAGAAGGCCCGGATGGAGGCCATGATGGTCGAATGCCGGAAGCAAGCCCAGGCTGCCCGGGCCAAGGCAGGGAAGATAGAGGCCAAATGGACAGAGCACTGTGCGGTTTACCGCCAGCTCTATGCCAAGCACGATGGTCTCCTCAAGGCTGCGAAAGAGGCCGATGAGCAGGCCCAGGCCAAGATCAATCAGCTGGAGGCCGAAAATGCCCGGTCAGCCGAGGAAATCGCTCGGCTGGAAGATGAGCTGCAGAAAGAGCAATCGGAGCGT